GCTTTGAATTAATTTATTTCTACAACTCTTCTTTTTACTTTTTATTTCCACCCTGCTATTTTTTTTTATATATATTTCGCCCCATTGTTATTTTTGCAAAAGTGGCGCTTCAAAAGTGTGTGTCGACCCCGAGGCTTTGACCGGAGCTCAGGGTTCGCTCGTGTGTGCATGTGTCCAGTGGTGATGTGCACGGCGCTGGATGACTCTGGTAGCTCAACATGGCTGTGATGACTAGACCGGTCGCCATGATGCGGGTGGGTGCTGGGGAGAAGCTCCTGTCCAGCCTCTCAAAGATGTGGGATGGGGATAGGGGTATGGGGGTGGGATGGGGTAGGGGGGGGATTAAGAAAACCAGGGGGTGGGCAAGGGGATATCTATGGGGGATTCAAGATTAACAAAAGAAAATCAAGAATAAAGCAAAAGTAGATGATGACAATGACGACGACGAAGAAGAAAAACATGAAAGGATGTGATGGTACAGTTTCTCATTCATTCCAGTGCTGTGTACATGCATTGAGCTTTTGAGCATGGGAGATGAACCTGCAGTAATGATCACATAGGGCGGGCCTGTAAACTTCACAGCATGATTCCTTAAAAAGAGAATGGTTGCAACCTTGTGGATGAGAAACAGAACCATTAAGCTGATATTTGAGTTTATTTCCAGTGATTTTAATGTATGTAGTTATATTAGACATTATATTGGTAATGTACAGTCTTTTGAAATTTGCTCTCAGAGATCCACTTAAGAGGCTAAAGAACTTTCGAAAGTGTTTTGCACAACTATTGTGTTCATTTAGATGGAAGGAGATAGAAACATTCGGTGAAAAAAAATTTGGCAGTTTGATTGTATTATAATTGTTAGTTTTTTATCACTTGCTTTATGGATCTATAATACCTACAAAATTATATTGAGAAATAAATATGACTTTAAATCTTTTTGTCTTTTCTTTTGGCCAGAGAATATAAATTGTATTTTTTTACACCCCAAAATAGTTGTTCTTTGACTTATATTTGATTTGTGGGCTTAGGTCCATAAGAGAACTGGGTCACCTACAAAAAAGATTGAGAACCTAGGTTTGTAAGCATTAAAGCATCAATCAAGTAGGAAGTATCACTGAGGATTATTACAGAAAGAAAGAAGTAAGGATTAAGACCAGTATTTTGTTATCTTACAGATTATCATAAAAATAAAGTGTTATGGAAAATACTTATCTTACTGTCATATTGTTGATCCTTTAGAAGTACAGAACTTATTTTAACCCATTGCCGCCGGGGAAAATGAACAAAAAATGGGGTAAATGCAGTACTCATTTTTTATATTTTTGTGAAATATGTCTGTCCATAGATGGCTCTGCTAGTCCTGATTTCACCTTTCCTTGAATTGGCGGGAAAAAACGTATTCTTACTAGTGTTATAAATATAGATGGTGTTATTTTTAACAGCAAATTAGGATAACGTTAAATATTTTCATAAATCGATGAAAAGGGTGAACGGGCGAGACAGGCAGTACTCGTAATTGGCTCATTGGATACTTAGTACAAGTGTAGCCATCTATGTGTAAAAACAATTGAACAAGTCGACTCACAGTGGGCATGGCATGTATGTACATGCCATCCCCGGTGGCAATGGGTTAATATTTTATCCACATGTACATACTGATTACATTATTTTTCTTTCTTTTTTTTTCGTAAAATGTGTGAAAAATTAGAATAAGGCCAAAAAGATGAAAAGTTAATCAGAAGTCTAGCTACAAGACAAGGTTTCTTCCCTCTGTCATTCCATCCTTGGCTGTCTTTTGCACTGTTTGCCAGTGCATTTTAGACATTCTGTTTCTCACACTTTTGAGAAGCTGCCTCAAAGGTCGTTGGTCACCATTGTGTCAAATTTCTTTTAGGCAGTGATTGCCAATTTGTTGTGAAACTTACCCTGACCATCTCCACATATTCTCCTTTATGTCTGATATCCTTAAAGGACTGACTCACAGGAAATTGGGAATTTGTCAAATAGATATTATTACCATAAAAATTATTGCTTCATGCAAATTTTCCTCATTTTGTAAAGCACATTTTTATGTTGCCTATTTTTCAGAGCAGAAAATATCTTCCTATGTATACTCCAGCCAACTTAATATTTTTTGTGTGAAGGTAACAAAAATGGGTATATTAGTAGGTAATATCACAAATTCTTTAATATGAGGTAACAAGGCGGTGTCATACGCCCTTCTTACAGCTCTCATATTTGCATTCAGACTAGTATTTTGTATGTAATAATTCGAAACTACTAACTAGATCAATTTAGTCCCCTCTTCCCGACGAGACCGACCCCTCTTCTAAGTCGTATATTAATACTGGAAGGATGCACTGACTGCACACTTGTTCTTAAGCATAGCGGTATAGCTTTGACTGTTTTTGGTCATCTAATTTTAGTAAACATTATGACTAACTTCTTTTAAGAGCACTGCATTATAGAAGCCTTATATCCCTTTTTACATCACGAGAATCACTTTAGTTCTGCTGTTATATACTCCGAGTCATCTCTCTCCTACCGCAGTCGAAACTGGTTACCATGTGAAGAAATACTTTGTTTTTATGATACTAAGAAAATGTCATAAATAAATTATAGGTTGCTGTAATTGTTTGCCATCAACAGAGTATTTTTTCAGTTTAGGTGAATTTGCAGAATATCCTTTTAAAATAGCGGCAAGTAGTCTGTTTTTACGTATCATAATTTAATCTGTATCAACTTGTAACCTAAAATGGATATGAAAATTATAAAGATGTTCAGAATTTTATTATGTGAATATATAAATTCTGTATGAGTTTACCATGTATTTTGAGAGAGGGAGAGAGAGAGTGAGAGAGAGAGAGAGAGAGAGAGAGAGAGAGAGAGAGAGAGAGAGAGAGAGAGAGAGAGAGAGAGAGAGAGAGAGAGAGAGAGAGAGAGAGAGAGACAGAGAGACAGAGAGAGAGAGAGACAAACACATCTAGATAAAAGTGAATAATGATAAAATAGAGAAACGTAAATTAGCAGAATAGGAAACCATACGGGCTATGAATAGAAAACGCAACCGTGGAAAAAGCCTTGTTGCAAATTTGGCGGTCAGTTAAGGTCAGAAGCTCGTCAGTAGCGGGAGCGGTTGGCAGAATCAAACATCACGGTTGACTGTCTGCGTCAGTCTCGTGAGCAAGACAGCTTTCTTTTTCTGATTCGGTAAGTATTGTAATTATTTTTGAATATATGTTGCGTTTGTTGTCCTTAAACGAGTTATCTTTCTAACTAGTCTTGTTATCATTAGATGGGCCTTTTTATATATCATTGATCTTAGTAACTGGCAAACGCAAAAAAACTTGAATTAGCATTGTACTACGTCCTGACTTCAGAAAAAAATCCACGCATTTAAATATAGATAAAGAGTCTTAAAGAAGGTTTATATATCTTATCAATAAAATCAAGAGTAATGGTCGATTGGGTGTAAAAGTAAAAAGCCTTTGGTACTGTGAAGGAGTTGAGAATGTCAGTATCAGACATCCTAAATATTTGGCAGTACAAAGCTTCGTTCTTGAAGTAATATGTATTCTTGATCTTGACGTATGACAATGTGTGTGATACGAAACTAAAACCAAGTCTTAGACAATTTCTTAGTCTCTTTTGTAGGAAGTCCGATAGTAGAATAATGGAATAAAATGGAATAGCAACCAGAAAAAAAAGGAGCGTGGAGCTGATAAGACATCCTCTAGCAGAGAAATGGATGTCAATTGCGGTTCAGTTGGGATACGGCGTGGCTTCAGAATGCGAATCTTTTCTGTAGGATCATGTCAGGAAGGGTACTTGTGGTTGGAGGCTTGTGAGAAGAGGCTCTCGGTTCTGGAGCTGGAAAGTGCGTGTTGCGACGCATTCGGTTGTAAAGGAAAAAGTTTTATCGGATATAAAGTCACGCCACACAATACCCCCCCCCCAAAAAAAAAAAAAAAAAAAAAAAAAAAAAACAAAGAAAAAAGAAAAAAAAAATGTTTGTAAATATTAGTTTTAACCAAACGCTATATGATCTTGAAAATTACAATAATAACTATAAAGCGAGACCAACAACATGAAATTCAAATAATGATAATATACGTCATTACGACTTTACAACACATTCTACAAGGTTATCGAAACCCCCGATACTTTCACACACAAATGAAAGAAATGGAAAATGCCACAGATTCACTACACTTCATATGAAAACTTTAACAATGCAGAGTGATCCTCAATGAAATTCCGGGTGTTATTTCACAAGCCTATTGTCATCACTGTTGCTCCGTTTCCCGAAAATAAAAGAATTTAACAAATGTGACCTTGTTCGAATGTGTGTCAGTGTGTGATGTTAATAATTCATTGTGAAATATGTAACATAATAGACAGGGGATGCGGAACGAGAGAGGGAGAGGGAGAGAGAGAGAGAGAGAGAGAGAGAGAGAGAGAGAGAGAGAGAGAGAGAGAGAGAGAGAGAGAGAGAGAGAGAGAGAGAGAGAGAGAGACGGGAGAGAGAGAGACGGAGAGAGAGAGACGGGAGAGAGAGAGAGAGAGAGAGACAGAGACAGAGACAGAGACAGAGACAGAGAGAGAGAGAGAGAGAGAGAGAGAGAGAGAGGAGAGGGAGAGGGAGAGGAGAGAGGAGAGGGAGAGGAGAGGGAGAGGAGAGAGGAGAGAGAGAGAGAGAGAGAGAGAGAGAGAGAGAGAGAGAGAGAGACAGAGAGAGAGAGAGAGAGAGAGAGAGAGAGAGAGAGAGAGAGAGAGAGAGAGAGAGAGAATATAAAGAGAAAAAAGAGAAAGGGAGAGGAAGAATAGAGAGAAAAAAGTAGCCAAACAAACACTTTTAGATAAAAGTAAAAGTGAATAATG